ATGATGCTCTAACCAACTAAGTTACCGTGCCAGGGCTGTTGATGAGGTTTTGTGTGGACATGTGTTTGTAGTTCTCTTGGGTGTACACTGGGAGTGGAATTGCTAGGTCATATGGTAAGTTACATATTTAACTTTTTGAAGAACTTAGTAATTCCTTTTTTAATAGACTTGTTATTTGGGAATAACTTTAGATTTACAGAGAAGTTGCAAAGTTAGTAGATTTCCTCTATAGCTGTTACTCATCGTCCCCTAATGTTAACATTACATAAACCATAAAATGTACATCAAAGCAAAGAAGCCAGCATTGGCACAGTATTATTAACTAAAATCTAGATTTTATTTGGATTTCACCAGTGCCTTTTTCTGTTGCAGGATATCACATTGTCATGTCTCCTTAGAGTTCTCTGCCCTGTGACAGTCTCTCAGTCTTAATTTGTTTTCATTTTCCATTTCCTTTACAGTTTTGAGGAAACTGGTCAGGAACTTTGTCTAATGTCCCTCTGGTTGAGTTTGCTGATGTTTTCCCCATGAACAGACTGGGTTACAGATTTGGGGGAAGAATCTCACAGAGGTGAAGTGTGCTTCTTTCTCATCACATTAGGTCAGGGGGCGAGTGATACCGACATGACTTATGTTAACCATATCACTTGATTAGTGCAGTTGTGACAAAGAAAAAAACAGTTCTGTGGAAAACCTCACAGGATGATCTGATCATAAATTCCTAACTGGACAGGTCATGTTGGGTAGTCACGCCCCAGGCATATAACTTTTTAATAAAAGGCTCATCTTTGCCTTAGGCGAGCCCTGTTTCTGTGCATCTAGGTTAATACACCTTTGAAATAAACCATAACTACCCCAGAGAGCACATACCTTGACTGTCCTGTAATCCCAACCCCAAATTGTTCCCTCCCACCTTTATGTAATCTTGATGTTTCCTCCTTAATCTCAAATGCATAAAAGAAACTGCAAATTGTTCTTGCCTATATAGCATTTATCTCAGTCTGTTGAGAACTTGCTTCCAGGTGTGTCTTTTTGGCTTAAATTTTTTATAAGCATTCTCTACAGGTTTGGGTGTTTGTTACATCAACGCACCGTCGGATTTTTCCACTTTGAAGTTATTCTTCCCTTTCCATGTTCTTTGGAAATGAGTCACCAAGTCCAGCCTACACTCAAGTATAGAGGAAAGTTAAACTTTAACTCCTAGAGGGGGGCTGTCTACATGTACTATTTGTAATTCTTTTGTAAGAAAGATTTTCTTTCCCATCCCCAGATTATTTCTTCATTTATTTGTATTAATACAAATGATACATATTTATTTTATTCTTTGGGTTATAATCCAATACTGCTTTATTAATTTTGTTGCTCACATCATTTTAGCGTTGCTCTTTTGGAATTCCTTTCTGTGTGTTTTGACATGCCCTTATCCTTTTTAAGTACTTCCTTACCTTCTGTCACTATAAGATGCTCTAGGCCAGCGATTTTCATTTGATGTGCTGCAAGAATTTTTAAAATATGTAAAACATGCAATATCTGACTATTTAGTCAGGGGCACTGATGTCTTTTTTCTTTGATTGTTAAGTAAAAACATGACAACAGCCAACACAATGATAGCCATCCAGTGTGAATGAATCAAAACCATATTTTTTGTCAGATAAGCAAAAAACACAATATTTGATGTGCTGCAGAATTTTAGTAGTTTGTGTGTGCCATGAGATGGAAAAGATTGAAAGTTGCTGCTCTGGACTCATCTTTTGTTTTTCATATTCTTGGCCCAGAACCATCTATTTCTCCAAGGAGCCCTAAGCCACTCACTGTTAATTGTCCAAGGTCACCCTTAAATTCATGATAGAGCCAGGATTCAAATAAAAACAATCTGATTTCACAACTCATGCTCTTAACTACAATACTAGACAACATACAGCTGAAGGTACATTGGCAGTTTCTAGCCACGTTCCATCTACGAGCCAGCCTTGAGGATAGAATTTGTAGTCAGTTTACACCAAATAATTAACCTTGATGACTTTATGTTGATTTTTTAACCACAGTTGTAAAAAGTACTGATAACTTAATGTTTAGGTGCATTTCTTTCTATATATGCATGCAAATGTATTTCGAAATTTTGTTACATTATTCTGAGTTTAAATTTGATACGCATTCATGTAGGTGATAGTTGGTCAAAGTGTAACCAGAATCTGATCCTGTCATGGATTGTCCTCACTGGTGATAAAGATGAAAGTAAGCTGCTCTAGGTTTATCTATTTTGTCTAATGCTGTGGCCACATAAGAGATAAAAAGTCTTGATTTCTCTCTTTATCAAATGATCCTCAAAATATTGGTACTAAGCCTTCTCTCTCTCCCATTTGTAGCAATAGATAAGTCCTGTCTGGTAATACACACCTGACAGCCCACACACCCTTAAGGACAGCCAGTCACACCCTGCTCTCATCCCACCCCCAAAACAGAACAGACCCCACAGGGTGGGACCAGCTGGTTTGGAGGAATCATTTGACTTAGATGTCCACCTTTTTAGATCTCACCTCCATCTCTTTTCCTTTGACCACCAGTATTTCATTTCAGGCAGTCTTTCTCACACACAAACATAAATCTTTTTTTGTTCCCTTTTCCCAGCCCTTCTGTAGTCGTTATTCCCAGAAATATATGTTTTCCCCCTTCACCTTCTCGCACTCTCCTTTTGTAGGCTGAAGGATAACTGTCATTATCGCAGATAAAATACACAGCAGTTCTAGTGGTATAACCTATCAAAGAAAACAAAAGCTGTAAGATTTGGAGTAGAAGTAGGTACAATAATGTCTTCATTTCTCAGTTCTTCCCAAATTATACCTACTTTTCTTTGGGAACTAGCATTCACACTAAATTCGAAAAAATAATTTTGTTTTTAACTTTATGTAAATACAGTTGGCATACTTAGTCATTGTATATATTATAAAGTTTTGTTCACTTACAAGCATTAGATAACTTTATAATAAATGAGGTTCTAATTACCATTCAAAACCTTGTTTAGTGGAGAAGTGTAGTGTTTCCTAAAATATATTGTTTTGTATCAGAGTTCATCTGTAAAGTAGGCATTCTCTTCCCTTAACTGATTTTAAATGCATATAATCTACTTTTTTATAGATATAAAATATATACGTATGTGTAACAAGGTTAAAGTTCCCACTAAGTTAGCCTTGTATGTGGCTAAGAGGGGTTACTTGACTGCCCGGAAAGGGCATCCGATAGACCCTTGGGATGTGGCCATACTCTGCTTTTTAGCCAAACTCTGGATTTACTTTTGTCAGTCTTCCAAGTGGATTGATTGAGTTCTGTGGCCCTATCTGCAAACTTGCAAGGGACTAAGGTGTGTTATTGGAATGTCAGATTTTCTGAGAAACCAAATATTGCATCAGTGGCACATTTGTACTGTATCCTTTAGGAAAGTTTATATGAATGGTAAGTTGTAATCACAAGGCTAGTTAGTGGTCGAGGAATCAGATTCCCAGGTGGGGGGAATTAGTTGATCTTTTTAATGGCAGATGTCCTATCTGTCTCCTGTAGAAATGGAGACATAGCAAAGATGTATCCTTTCTTTTACTGAGCAGACTGGGGCCTTTGTGTGGTGCCTTGGTGAGTGACCCAACAATTAATGCTGGAAGGAGCAGGTCTTTATTTGCAACTTTCCAACCTTGGGGAAGCTTAGACCACCTCAGCTTGGAGCCCTCCTTTCCCAGGAGACCTAGCACTTCCCATACTCCCCACCAGGTTAAAAGCCAGAAGCCCAAAAAGTGGAAGTTCCCTGTTTCCTTTTCTTAATCCAGCTACGCAAATAGTTCTCCGGTCCCTTTGCAGGGTACCAAAGTCATATATCCTCAGACAGCAGCTCGCTCCTGCAGGATCTGGGGTACGTTTTCATCAGCATCCATTGAATAGACCAGAAAAGCAGGTGCCGTGTTACTCTGGATCATGGCGAAACTCAGGAAAGGCACAGGTCTTAATAGCCCAGCGTAAATCCAGAAAGGACATTTGCAGCAGGACAGGGTCTTGCAAGGAAGTCCTTGGGGGCTCCAGAGTCAGCTCAAGCAGGCACAATCACAGCAGCGTCTCCTTCCTTATTAGTCCAGGCCATGTGGCTTCCTTCCTCACTATGAACTACATAGCTGCTTGCTTGCTTCTCCCTTCTCACTGCTCCCTTTCACACCACATGATCATGCGCAAGAATGGGTGCGGCACTTAAGTTTAAATCCTCACCCTGCACCTCCTTTGTAACCCCATTTCCAACTTCTCCCACGGTGGGCTGCATCTGCATTCCCATATTTTCTGCCTTCCTCCAGCTGCCAACCGCCTCCAGCGACGTCCTGAGTCAAAGTCAGTTCCACCTCCCTGGCAGCACAGCTATTCAGCATAACTGTAGCACTGGCCAGCTGTTATTGATATGCAGAGTACCTCTCCACTGTTCCTCTGCTTCCTCATCCCCAGCCAAGTCTGTGGAGGTTTGGGTCTTGTTTTTTGGTTTTTTTTTTTTTTTTCTTTTTCTCTCTTTTTTTTGTCTCTCTCTATTCCCAGGAGCTTCTCAGCCTGCACCCTGTTCTAAACCCCGTTCCACATCTGTTACGCTTTGATTGGCTGGTTGGGAAATAGCCTTCCTCTTTGGAAATCTCTTTTTTCTGAAGACTTATGTTGTCTGTTTTCATTAGAAAACATTTACTCTTAGAATCAGTTGATTAGATGAATCTTTCAATATATTAGTGTCTTCATGTCCTCTGATCTGGACATGGCTTTCAGACATTCCCTCAGCATTCACTAACTTTGTTAGAGGAGGTTGCCTATACTTCATGGATAACCAGTTTCATTGCTTACTCTTTGAGTTTACAGATCTTGCATGTTTTAGTCTAAATGAATAACATTTTCTAATTCAGAATTGGGGAGGGGATTGTTACTGTTTTGTGCTCGTTTCTACTATTTTTTACCTTGTTACTAACTAAGTTTTTGCCTATCTGTTTCAGGCCGTAACCGTAATTCTGAATCATGTCTGATAACGGAGAACTGGAAGACAAGCCTCCAGCGCCTCCCGTGAGAATGAGCAGTACCATTTTTAGCACTGGAGGCAAAGACCCTTTGTCAGCTAATCACAGTTTGAAACCTTTGCCCTCTGTTCCAGAGGAAAAAAAGCCCCGGAATAAAATCATCTCCATATTCTCAGGCACAGAGAAAGGTAAATAAATAGCTGAAGTTGTTGCTCAGCTGACTTGTTATGTCCTCTCTTTCATTTTCAGAGACTTGGGCTATAGTCATGGCTTCCCAACATTAATGAAATTTGTGGTATTTCAGAAAGACCTACTATTATAAGAATGGTGATAATAGAGTCTGCAGTCCCCTGTCTAAAATCCCTGGAGCCAAGTGTGTTTGGGAATTCAGGTTTTCCGATTTTTGAGAGTAGTACTGTCTTTTTATCATGTGTTCTCTAATGCCCACAGAAGCATCTGAGGTAACACTCAGTAGTCAGCATGTTAATGTATGTTCATTCAGCAAATATGAATCTAGTCCAGGGTTTCTCAACCTCAGTGTGATTGTACACAGTGAAAGAGTTGTTTCATGAAATTTTTGTTTTAGTTTTGTGTGTACTGACATGCCTCTTTTAATCCTCACCCAAGGATATGTTCATTGGTTTCAGAGAGAGGAAGGGAGAAACATCTATTGGTTGCCTCTCACACACACCTGACCAAGAATCGAACTCACAACCTTTTGGTGCATGGATGGTGTTCCAACCAACTGAGCCACCCAGCCAGGGCCTGGAATACCTCTTTATATTTTGTTTCCAGATACTACTTTTTTTTTTTTTTTTTAGAAATTGAAGGTTTGTGGCAACCCTGTATTGAGCAACTCTATCAGCACTACTTTTCCAACAACATTTGTTCATTTTGTGTCTATGTGTCACATTTTGATAATTCTCACAATATTTCAAACTTTTTCATTATTATTATTTGTTATGGTGATGTTGTTGGTGATCTTCGATGTTACTAACCTAATGGTTTTGAGGTGCTACAAACCACACCTATGTAAGATGACAACTTAATAGATAAATGTTGTGTGTACTCATATTAGTCATCCCACCATCTCTCTCCCTCTCCCTGGGCCTCTCTCTATTTCCTGAGACACAGCATTATTGAAATAAGGATAAGTAATAACTTCACAGTGGCCTCTACATGTTCAAATGAAAGGAAGAGTTGCATGTCTCTCACTTTAAATCAAAGCTAAAAATGATTAAGCTTAGTGGGGAAGGTGTGTCAAAACCTGAGATAGGTCAAAGGCTAGGCCTCTTGCACCCAACAGTTAACCAAGCGATGAATGCAAAGAAAAAGTTCCTGAAGGAAATTTAAAGTGTTACTCCAGTAAATATGTGAATAAGAAAGTGAACAGCCTCATTGCTGATATGGGAAAAGATTTAGTAGTCTCGATAGAAGATCATACTAGCGAAAGCATTCCTATAAGCCAAAGTCTAATCCAGAGACAGGCCCTGACTCTCTTTACTTCTGTGAAGGCAGAGAGGGGCGAGGAAGCTGCAGAAGAAGAGTTTGAAGCTAGCAGAGGTTGTTTCATGAGGTTCAAGTGCAAGGTGAAACAGGAACTACTGAGGTAAAAGCTGCAGCAAATTCTTCAAAAGATCTAGCTGAAATAATTAATGAAGGTGGCTACACTAAACAGTGGGTCTTCAATGTAAATGAAACAGCCTTATCTTGGAAGAAGATGCCATCTGTAGGACTTTCTTAGCTAAAGAGAAGTCAATGTTGGCCTCAAAGGGTAGGCCGACTCTCTTGTTAAAGGCTAGTGCAGCTGGTGACTATAAGTTGAAGCCAGTGCTCATGTATCTTTCTGTAGATCTAGGGCTCTTAAGATTTATGTTGAATCTACTCTGCCTGTGCTCTGTAAACAACAAAGCCTGGATGGACAGCACACCTATTGACAGCATAGTTTACTGAATAGTTAAGCCCACTTGTTATCTACTGCTAAAGAAAAAAGATTCCTTTTAAAATACCACTGCTCATTGATAGTGCATCTAGTCACCCCCAGAGCTCTGATGGAGATGTACAACAAAGTTAATATTGTTTTTGTACCTGCTAATACAACATCCATTCTGCAGCCCCATGGATCAAGGAGTAATTCTGATTACTCCTCTTACTACTTCTTAAGGCTTAGGATTTAAGAAATACATTTTGTAAGTCTCTAGCTGCGATTGATAGTCCTCTGATGGCAATGGGCAAAGTAAATTGGAAACCCCTAGGAAAGGAGTCACCATTCCAGATGCCGTTAAAAACATGTGTGATATGCCCTGGCAGGGTAGCTCAGCTGGTTAGAGTATTGTTCCGATATATCAAGGTTGCAAGTTCAATCCTCGGTCTGGACACATATGAGAGTCAACCAATGAATGCATAAATTAAGGGGAACAACAAATTGATGTCTCTTCTGTCTGTCTCTCTGTCTTTCACTCTCCCCCCTCAAATCAATAAACATATCCTTGGGTGAGGATTAAAAAAATAAACATGACTCTGTAAGATTTTTAACATCTCTAATATAAAGTCTGATCTAGAGATATTTATTCTACTCAAATTTACATCCCTTTATGATGCTGTTGTTGGTAGCAAACAGCTAATATTTTTATTTAAAATAAAAAGAATGGCTTTGGATTATTTTTAGTTATTCATTATTAGCTTTAATCAGTGTCACTGGGTAAATTAAGAGAACTAGAAATTATTCTTCCTGTGACAACTTAGTGGAACAAATCTTTTCCCACCCCTTCTAATATGTCATATGTACCCTGTGACTCATCAGAGATACAGTGATAAGCAAAGCAGATGGTGTCCCTACCCTCCTGGCACAAATCAAAAACTACAGCACATAATTACAAACTGAACCGTGATAATAGGGATAGTATGAGATGTCTGTCCTAAGGTAGTGACATTTAAGTTGAAGGTTAAAGGACGATTATGTGAAAATAGGATTTATTTTGATAGTTTAAAAAGTGTGCTCAGAAAAGAATTTCAGTAGCCCAGACACAGGAGGGATTGTAGCATATTCATGGAGCTGAGTACAGTCCAGTGAGATTTAAAAGCAGAGGCAGAGAATTATATAGCATAAGTGTAGGAAACTATAGACAGCAAAAAGGGATTGTAGAGGTGAGGTAGGCAGGAAGCAGGTCATAAAGGGCCTTGTGTTCCATGCTGCAGAGCTCATATTTTATTGTTTCCTGGGAAACCATTGCAGAATTTTAAAAAAGAAAGACCTGGTCACGTTTTTGTTTTGAAGAGATACTGGTAGCTGTATAGAAAATAGGTTTTGTTAGTGAAAATGACAATTGTCTCTTATCTTGGCTTATTTTTAAAGGCTCTGGTTAGTTTTGAGTGGTACAGTATTTTTTAACTAAAACAATTTTCACATTTAATTATTCAGCCTATAAGCAAGCACCTTCACTTCTGGTTGGCTAAGAAGATGATAGACTTAAAACTGTAAATATCTCTTTTGTTTTAAAAGTCTTATTCTAACATTAATAATAGTAGCCCATACACCTCTGCCTATTTCCTAGAGTTCCGTGTGATAGAACAAGTTTAGTTTCACCAGTTTGAAGCTGTTTGGGATCAAAAGAACAAAGGGGTAGTCAATCACTGGTGGTTTTAGATGAGAGATAGAAGAGTCTTCCTTTAAAGAGGTGGGCGTTTTGTTTTTTTACCCTAGACTCTAATTCAAATACGGCATACTTGATTCTTTTAAGTTCCTTTTGTGCAACACATAGCTTAGAGGCTTCACTCATTGGCTGAAGGTTGCCCACCTGCTTGTTTTGCGATCTCATGAAGTTGGAAAATGATTCTAAGAATCTGTTTTCCTCCAAGTACACTAATAAGTTGTGTGTTATATTAAAAGAAATTTCTTTCCCTGGTCCATTACTTCCCACCAAGAGATCCAGTTGCCTGGTGGACATTCTGTGGATAAAATGTGGATTTGTTGGTGATAGTCGTCCTTCTACTTCTTGGCTTCCAGAGTTACAAAGCAGCGATTCCATTACATAGCAGTATCCTTCCAGCACTTTGATTCGAGTCATGCTTCAGTAGGTTTTTATTTTAGATACTCTAAAAATTTTTACCCTACTAGGACTACTAGAACATAGGGATTATATATGTGTTTTATGTAAAAAGAAATGGAATCAAATAATTTTTAGGATATGGTGTCCTTTTAAGTGGATTAATGCATGTAAATATGTTTTGAGTTCTTAATTATTTTCTACCTCTTTTAACTTTTTATTCTATATTCCTAATATGTATGAAACTTAATTCAATATATATATCTAAACTTAGTGGTCCTGAGTTGAAAAATACAGCTGCACCTTAGACACAACAGGAACCAGAATTGTCTTGCTGTATGTCTTGTCTTTCTCCTTTCTGTGTACTGATCATATTTCTTTCTTATTTCAGACTTTTTTTTCTATGTGTTAAAAATAATGGCCTGCAACAGTTACTGTGCTTTTTTTCTTGTAATTTTATTTAGTTATAAGAGACCGATTCTCGCTTAGTTCAGGTATTCACCCCCGAACCAGTCTAACTGGCTGGGAGTATGTGGGGAACTGTGGCTCACCTGGCTCAGTTAGACAGCTGCCTCGGACAAGTCATTTGTAATCAGGGTCATAAATAAGAAAATAGCTTCTTTCCCCACCATGTGCATATCAGAAATGGGATGCTGAGCAGATTTTTTTAAAAGAAAAAAACAGTTTTTAGTACATGAAGCGGTACAATTTTTTGGTGAGCAGTTCAGAACTGCCTGAAAAGTAAACTAGTAGATTATAGTTGGTTAATAAATATTTTCTCTTACGCAGGATACTGAGAAGTCAAGAGACGCAAAGAGAAGTAGAAGGCATCCTCAGGTTACTCAAATTCCACTGGGAAGCGAGAGGTTGTTTATGATAGGTATAATGGTGCACTTCAGTAAAGATAGCAACATTTATACCAGGCTTAACTGTTGCATTTTTCTGTGCTCCTTTTTGTGACCAGTGTGCCCTGCCCATTTACCATAGCTAGGCCTCTTGTAAGTAAATATTATATGTGCCTAGGAGACTTAGAGAGGAGATGGACATCTGAGCACAAATCTATCATCACTAATCCAAAAGAATACTATGTTTCCTACTAATGGAGGTCAGTAACAACTTGTAAACAAAGGATAGTGTACAGA